AACCAGGAGGAAGAAGGAGACGGAGAGAACAAACAGCATGGCTGCTTTTGTTCTGTCTGCAGGAGGCTGATGGAGACGCAGCAGCACACAGACACAAAAGTGCAGACGCATGTCCTCCTTGCAAATGGACAAACCTGTCATGTTCACAGACAGACAGGAGCATGACTGGAAAAATCTACCTTTATTGATTGCAGACACTTTACAAATTGCCTCTAAAATATCAAGTCAAGTCAGAAATGTTGAAATTGTGCAGGCTGTAAAAAAGACATACAGCAGAAGCACACATGCTAATTTATTCCTTTTGTCTTTGCCGCTTTTGTTTCTTCAAAACACTATGAGACATGAAAATGAAATTAGAATTGGGGCAAGACGTGTGCACAAAGCTGACAGCGTTGTTTTGTCTTTGCTTATCGTAACTGTTCTCCCAGAGGTCTGTGGGGAACGGTTGGCGGCAAGAGACTCCGCTCAGCTCCACTCACGGAAGCGGAATGACACTCAATAGCAGGCCGCCACGGGTCAAGGAGCAAACACCTTCACTTGTCAGCCAGCTCTTTGACTGACACACAATACCTGTGGGTGGCCCCCGATATAGCTCAAATCCCTGACTGGCGCCTCTAGATAGAAGGTGTTCATTCTTCACAGACCTGGCAAATCAAACAGAATGAAATCTAAGAAATGTCTCACTGCTACATACAAGCCTTGCTGCAGAGGCTTTGTAAATCAAACCTGTAGTCTTCTTAAATATGTGTCTTTGGAACAAGCTTGGCTGGACATTGTCACAGATGGCTGGGTTTACATTCAAGCATTAGTAGGCAAAAGCAGTTCATTACCAGGGCATGTTTAGTAATTAATTTGTGTGAATCAGAAGGCATCTGCAATGTAATTTATGTCTGTGTAATGTATATTAAGTTACCCATTTCACTCAATTAGTAGAGATCCACCTTGTTTATGACCAATACAACTAAAATGATAACAGCCACACACGTTCAAGATTTCTTTAAAAGTGACTTCTCTGGCCATTGTTTTGCTGGGATGTTCACTCAGTCACATTTAATCCTTCACTAGTGCACAAGAGATCCCTTCAATCAAATCTAGATATTCACTGTGCCTCTGCTTGCAGCAAAGTTTCTCTGGCTCAGTAGGAGTGGGCGTGTGGCAGTCAACTAGAGAGACAGATAAATGTGTTTTTCCTTTACATTTAAGAAGCTTTAGCGCTGTAATAAAAGCACAGTTATGCACTTGTTTGCTACTCTCTTGCTAATGCAATCACTTCTACTGGTCAGCAATAAAGGAGAAGGAGGACCTATAAGACAGGAGTGGCCTGGATGATGAAGGTTAGATGACCTGGTCAGTTCTTTAAATGCAGAAGGATGCAGCTGCCAGGTTGGTTGCAGTTAATGTTTTTTGATTTAATCCAGAGCTCTCTCCCTGCCCTTGCACTCCATGGTAATATGCCCAGAGGGCTCTTCCTGTAGTAAGTGGAACTGGAGCCTCCCTGGATTTATTGCAAGGAATATATTCCTCTCTCTCCCACAGGATTAATCTCACCAGTTCATGAACCAGAGAGAAAGACGATAACAAAGACCGGCTCTGTCACTTGTTTCAAAGCTTAAAGCTTCTCCTCACTGCTTCTGATTTTTTTGCTCACATGTGGAAACCTACATTCAACTGAGGCGTGCTTTACAGTTGAGGTTTTATGACAGCCAGTATCCATGTCTTTTCTCATTAGGGAGAAATGCGTCTTAGCTCGAATGCAGCTGTTTGGTTCTCAGCAGTATGCTCCACTGTCCCCGCACTCATCTTTTTTAGTGGCACTAAACAGATGGTTGTGGTCAGTGCTGCTGCTGCTGCTGCTGCTACATGGCTGTTGAAACTCTGTTGAGAGCAGCACACTCTTTAATTGTTGCTTAAAATACCTGAAGCACTCAGGACTTTGGAGGAGCATCAAATGTCTCAAAATATATTACACATTTTTTCCTCCTGGTCACTTTTTATTAAAATTTTAATTTTTCAAACTTTTTGTGGGCATGAATGTAGAGGTTGCAAAGGCCAAGTAGGTGAAGGGCAAAAGGCAAAAGAAAGGAAGTGCAGCATCTGGACAGGAACTCTGACATCCGGGGAGGGGGAAGTACATCAAGGGAGGGTGTGGTGCCTGACCTCTCACCCTAAACAGAGGGTAGAGGTCAAAGACTGAAGATAGACTGCAGCTGTGCTGCAACATGCAACCCCACTGTCATGCCAATCACTGTAATTTGCCCAGACAGATGTGTCCCCACCCAGTTTACCAAGCATGCCTCAACAGGAGTTGACAGAAAGAAGAGAGGGAAGGATGGAAGGAAACAAGGAAGAAAGGGCGCTTAGAAGGAAGAAAGAAATCAAAACAGACAACAGGAGGAAGGGAAGGAAGTCAATAAGACTCCTATCTCCGCACACAAGGCCTCAGTCTTGGGAGCTAGCTGGGGAGTCTCAATCCACCATAGCAGTTTATCGAAGGGAGCATGCCTCCAATTAAAGGGTTCTTCCCCTAAGATTTACTCACCACCTCCTCCTCTCCCCCTCTCATTTTACCCTATATGGCAGCCTCCCTTTGCCTCTTTCACCCTCTTCTAGAGCTATTTGTTCTTCTGCAGGGGAGGTAGGACCTAATCATGCCAGGATCTCGTAATACCAAGTCTTTTAACTGCTAAGATCAAAGAGTGCGAGTTTGCCTAATGCGGGATTACGCAGAGATACGGGACCTGGCAGCCTCACCTCACTCTACCCCCTCCACCTCCTCCACCACCACCACCACCACCAGCGGAGGGTAGCTCCATTAAGGCTCAACGCATTGCTCATTTTTCCGCAAGAGCTCCCTTGGGCTAAGAGGCAATTATGCAGTAGTGTGGCATAATATTTCATTCTCTTCACATTGCATTACTCTATGGTGGTGCCGGCCGCTAACAGCTTCATGTGGCCCAGGAGGAAGGGTGCAGGCTGCTAACAACTTCATATGAGTAGAGGGAGATTGAAGAGGGGAGGAGGAGGCGGAGGAAGGGGGAGAAGAGGAGAGTTCTCAAGGGCATGATGCTTCATTAGGAGTCAGGTCTGTTTTACCTCTCTGTGTGGAGACTGAAAGGGTTTCCATGCATCCTAGTTTAGGTGATAAGTAGATTTGCAACATTAAAGAAGAACAAAAACATGAATGTGTACACTGGATTCAAGATTGTGAACATAAAACACAAGATTCAAAGAAAAGAGAGTCATATTCAGAAAAACACTGAAGATGATAAAGATCACAAAGTTGCAGTGAGTTACTCTGTATTCCTGTGAAATGCAATTTTGAAAGAATTTTTTGAATCTGATTTAAATATATCCTTTTGCAGCATTCTGCAGGGTCTAGGTGTCCAGAAAGAACTACAATATAAATCATATTTATGAATATGATATATATGTGGAAAACATGGACATAGCTTCATCTACCGACACAAATCTGGAAATGTTTTAAAAAAGGGGAGAACTGGTGCATATATTTGCGGGTTGCATCACAGAACAAAACATGCGGGTCCCTTTCTGCAACATGTGAAGATCTCTCAACAAACACCATTCTGCCCTCATTTGTTTTTCGCCGTACCGCTATCCCCACCATATTGAGAGACTAGTAGCTTTCTGGTCCAATGATTTCTTTTCTGGCGAGTGCTCTCTCACCCTCCATCTTTGGATGAGTGGCACATGCTGTAAAGTAGCTGCTTTTCAAAGGTTGTACTTGAAGCTGTTGAGTAGAACATTTATTTTTTACTGTAGAGGAAATCTCTTTCCTCCATCTGAGGTTGTAAACTCAAGTGGAAATTGACCATTTTGAGGAATTTGACAGAGTTTAAGTATGCTGATGCTGGTCGATGGTCAATTGGTCTATTTACCAGCCCATTCAACACTGTAGTCCGAAACCAGACATCTTGATGACAGTTACACAGATTAGCATGAAATCTGTATACAAAGACAAAGGTTCCTTCAAGGCAAACATTTTTAGCCCCACCAGGCTTAACGCTCTAAGAATGACAAAGTCATCGGTATATTGTTTGTTTTTTTTCTATATAATATTTTAGTATTATTTTAGGTTATAATGAACATTATGGTATTTTCTGACAGGGGTGGGTTTTTATACTTTGAGTTTAGTTTCCTACTGTAAGTATATATCTATATATAATATATAATTCATTTGGAGTTAGGAGGAGTCAGGAGTAACTGAAGTACTTTGTTTGTGGAGAAGAAACACTAATCTTAAGACATGTCAGTGACACTCTTTGTTCACTTATTTTTTTGCAATTCATCACAGTTCTTAATATTAGCACCAAGAGGAGACGTGGGGCACTGTTACCAAAAAAAAAAAAGAGTAGGAGACCTTACTCTTAAGAAAATAATAATACCATCAACATGTAAATTTACATATATCTGCTTTTGGTTTCAAAGTTACGCTGAAAGTTTAGCATTGTGTTCATAGTTTTGAAGGGGAAACAAATAGGGAAGAAGGTGAGAAAGGAAACGGGTGCTGTCTGTTCACCTCTGCTCTGACAGAGCAGGCATGTGCAGCCCGGGGCAAGGCTGTTCGGAACTGTTGTGTGATTTTACTGTATTCACTGTGTGCTTTTGCAGGTGCTCAGATTCTCAGCCCCCTCTCAGCCTGCAAGATGATGTTATTTGTTCCCTGTAGTCTGCAAACTGATGGCACTGGCTTTGATTTCAGCCACACTGTATAATAACAAGGAGGCACATAGCTGAAACTGTGACCATGAAGCTCTCATGTAAAATATCTTCTCACATTCATCATTTCTGTATGCCATACAAAAAATGTGAAAGTCAGGCTTTATAAAATATGTTGCTTTAGTGTCTTATAAGTGTATCTAGGGTCATAAATCCTCATTTCTCATATGCTGACAGTGTTCCTCCCCACTGAGCCATTTTCATCTATAAAGTTTTATTTCAGAGACCTAGCATTAATGACCAGCCTTTCTCCTTGTTTGTAGAAATACGATCTGGTGGCCGAGGGCCTAAGGAAGGACCTGTGAGGCAGCTGCCCCTGTACGACACGCCATATGAGCCAGCCGAGAATGGTGGCGACTCGGACCCTGAGCGCTCGCGCTGCCCGAGAGAAAGCCGACTGCCCCAGGATGATGAGCGACCCCCCGAGGAGTATGACCAGCCCTGGGAATGGAAAAAGGAGAGGATTTCCAAAGCGTTTGCAGGTAAAATAACCGTCAGCATAATACATGTATATGACACAAAGAGAATTACTTACTCCTTCTCACAGGATCATTTAGAAGTACATACTGTTCTTGAAACAAACATGTTTTCTCCATCCTAAATGAAGAGAAAATACATTTTAACATAAGAAGTGCTTCAGCTTTACCTGTTGCATACTGTTAGTTATGATGTCAAAAGCTCAGACTGTGAATCTGCTTATGCTCAAACTCTGTTTAGCAATGACTGTATTTCAGTATGGGTTGCCTTATTTAAATTCCAAGCTCTTAACACTATTCAATTTGAAACTATTTCCTTTCTGCTTAACTAACCCAGGTGTGTGTTTTTCCAGCTCTAACAAATTTGATTATGGCTTTTGCCAGGTTTCAGGGTTCTGCTGCTGCTGCTGCTGCTACTGCTTTAAACTCTGTTAACACTTCTTCTTTTTTCCTCTGCAACTGCTAAGTTCATTTGCAGGTGTCCAGTATACTGTTTTGATCCAACTGCTGTCTGTTTAAATTTAGTTGATATCTCTGCTGCTCAGGGGGAGGCATGATTGGGTGTGCAGGTGCATGTAGGTGCAGGTAGTCACTGTGTTTCGGGAGCTTCAGCATGGCTAACACAGCCATAACATCAAACAGGGCTGTTCCTGGAAAGAATACGGCAACCAAATGAAAAAAAAAAATATAATGCCAAGCCTTTTAACTGATTGAAGAAAATCAGCAACCCTTGAATCTATTTTTCATCGCCCCTTTTTCTCTTTATATTTTTTTCTTTTTTATCCTTGAACAGCTCTGCTTTGTTATGACTGCATTAGCTACGAGGGCTCTGTAAGTGGCACTGGATCAGGTCCCCACAGAAGAAAGGACTGCACCTCTAAATCCCTCACAGGTACCATTGGAGACGGGGCTGGGTGTGTCTCATGTCTGTCTGTATTATATCCATGTTAGAGTTGTGACAGTGATGCCTGCACTCCTGGTTGCACTGAACCTTGTGGTTAGAAGTTTATGTCTTACTTAAATCCTCAGCACCAAGGTTAAATACGTCTATATAAAACTCAGGTTAGACTCATGTTTTGCAGGTTATTAGCTGTTTTCCAATTTGATTAACACTGAAAAAATTCTCATGTTCTCAAAATAAAATGAGAAAAGGTCACCCACTTCAAAGACAAATCACCTTGCTTTGAACATTTTCTTGATTCGAATGACATTATCAGGATGCCATTGGTGTGATTGCCTAGTGCTTGAAGTGGACTAAAGATGGTGGAGCCACTGGTGACATTCTCCTCAAATCAGTCTTGCAGTGGACACATGAGTGTAACAAGTGCAATAAATGCAGTAACACTTCTTGGTACTCAGAAGAAGAAGGGGTGATGGGGTTTATGGGTTTGAGTGAGTGAATTTGTGTTGACTCTGTGGAGTCAACTGTGGAAATAATTAACACTGCAGTAAAAGAAATGAAATGTTGTATTTTCTTCTTTGGGGATGAGAGTGTGCCCCTCTGTACTGCCCAGTGTACAAAGCTCACACTATGTTTCCCTTTTGTATAAAAAGATGCAAACATACAAACCAACCAACCAGTGAACACTAAGAGCCCGACTCTTACTGAGGTACTTTCCTAGTTACATGGTGAACATTGCATTCAAGGCATCAACTTCAGAAAGCAAATATTAACAAGAACAAATATTTACATAACCATGTTTCAGATTTTACCTCAGGTATCCTTCTACTATGAAAGCATTTATTTATTTAGTTTTATTTGATTTAAAATTCAGAAAGTCTTGAGCGAGAAAGTGTATTCTGCATGAAACCATCAGGATGAATATATCATCATTGAATGATCCATTTCTTTTTTTAATTACAGCCGAATAAAAGAAGCCATTAAATATATGTATGGCCTGAGGGCTCATTAATCAGCAGTAACTGAGCTTTATAGTGGTGTAAATAAAAACCTCACAGAGCGAGACGCTAAATTAAAATTACGCGCAAGTAAATTTTCATCTTTTACTTTTTTTTTATACTTTTATTATCATTATTTCTAGATATTTCTCTTTTTTGTTCATCTTTTAATTTACCATCTGTGTGTTTTGGCATCACTGGAAAACATTTACATGGCATTTCAATCAAGTGAAAATAATCACTATACAGAGATTGAGAGAGCGATTAATCCCTTATGGTGTAATGCTGGCAGTAGAGCTGACAGACTCACTGGGGACTGCTTTAGAGATCTGGAGGTGGATCTTTTTACGTAATGTCTCAAACACAAATTCTGTGAGTCATTAATTCCATGTTGATGGACAAGCCTCATGACATAGTAAAATATTACAGCATAAAAACTTAATGCTTAAATTTACAGCTGGCCTGTGTTTGTAGATGTTAACATTACTATCCAAAACCGTCAGAATAACAGTGAGAGTTCTGCTTAATTGACAAGGTGAGCCATAGTAACAGCTGCAGTAGTAGAGCAGAGACAAACAGAGAGGATGCTGAAGTGGATGTCACTGTAATATGTAACATGTTAAATGTGCAAAAAGTGTCTTATGTGGCATTAAACGGTAGCAAGCTCATGAATCTCATTTGTGGAAGAAGAAGAAAAAGAGGCTCAAGAGAGTATTTAGTGCAACTCCTGCAGGTGATGAGAGGAACGCTTTATACCAGCCTACCTCCTTGCTCAAATTTAGAATAGCTTCTCAGTACGTAAACTGATTTTAACACTTAGTAACAGAATGAATGACATGATAGATGGATTCATTGCATTGTGGCAGCTGCTCTGATTTACAAAAAAGCTTATTTGTGTTTGGGCAGGCTCATAGGTCTGTCTGTTCATACATCATCTTTCAATGTTTTCCTAATTTTCTGTCACTTAATTCCTGTTTCTTGTTTACTGCGGTGTATTCTAGGCACCGAGGTCTTCATAGGAGTCACGCTGTTCTGCCTCTGCCAGTGATTAGTTAAATAAGGGATGCTGCATTCTTAATCACTTTCCCTCTCTCCCTCATTATTTTTCTGTCAAGCGGTACTCAGAAGAGTTTGGTTAGGACGCTATTTACTAATACATCCCTCTTTCAACTCCCCCTTTACACACAGCATCCCTCTTTTGATGATGATTAATTTAATTTCCATTGGATGTCAGAGTGTTGGCTGGGAGTTGAAGAGATAAGTCTTTAAGTTGTCTTTCAAAGAAAGAAAGCTGCGGACCATAAAGTACTTTGATTTAATGCACGTCTTCATTCTGTGTTATGTTTAATTCAAGCAGAAATAATTCCTCACTATTTGGAAGACAGAAAAAGGAAGAAAGATGAGAAAGACGTCTCTGGGACAAGCCTTGTCAACATGGGTTTGTTGCTTTTGTAGAGCAGCCTTGGATCCAGACATCAAGAGGCTTAGAGAAAGTTTCCCACCTTTCAAGGTTTGAGCTTGTGTGCCTGCACCCAAGGCTCTGATCTTTGCTACCAGCTTACCTCCAATGTCAAGAAATTATACACTGCTTCAGCATTTAAGTCCACTTGTGAGCCAGTTCTTTAGGACTACTGACAATCCCATAATTCCCACTTTATAAGTCATTCCTGTGTCATCTCTCTTTGGACTCTTTTAAGACTCAACTTTGAGTATATTGTCAGATTTGCCAGGTTACCCTGATCTTGTCCTGGAGATTCCCATCTTAAACATCTGGCTGAGCAGCTGTTTCATAACATTACTGTTACATCTTACATTACTTACATCACTGTTGATAAATTTCATCCTTGAAATTTTTACATCTCATAGAGGCAGGATAGAATTGTCTTGCATCCACACTCAAAGTAGGGTTACGTATAGTTTATGAAATTTTAGACTGGAGTCATAAGGTCATTAAGGTCGTTAAGCTTAGATTTCATGGTTGGTTACATGTCTTATTTTATATTTTACTCTCTTTAGTTGATCCTGTAACTAGATATTTTGGTTTCTCACAGCAGGGCCATTTTTAGAGATCCATTTTCTGAACTTTTTTTAGGTGCTGCAGCCCTCTCAGGAAAAGTAGTAACGATAGCTCAGTGTGAATTTACATTTAGTTGTGAAACCAGAAACAGACCAGGAAATGTATGGATATGTATCTATTATAGTAAGAAAACAACAGTCTTATTGTTATTGACATATAGTCAGAGAAGCTGTCATAGATCCCTAGTTTTGCTGTCTTATCTAAGCCACATGTTTGGAAGAGCAACTAAATGCAAATGTTATATTTCCCAAACTGTAAGTTGTAAATATGAATTAGATTTTGCAAAGATACTTTTTGCTAGTTTTTGTCACGCCTTGACATTTTTATATAAGATCAGTATAACATTTCTGGCCAAGACGTTTGATTCAGAATGCTGTAAACATAGATGTTTGCTACACATAGGTGATTAAATCAGAAATTTTATTTGGTGTTACTGCTGAAGTGTAAGAACTTACAAGTGATACTTTTTTCTTTTTTTTTTCCCCAAAGCCAGTGGCCTATACATAAATATTACTGACATAGGTGCCAACACGCTGTTAATAGTTGTCCTACCTCAGTTGTTCTATGCAGTGGATGATAACATTATTACATTGTTTGACAACATTTCGTGCACCCTGTGCTTCAGTTCATTGCCAGTTGCCAAGTGCTGTAGATAACATGGTTGAAGAGACTGGAGATTTGTTAGTATTTGTCTGACTACTCATGTTATTTACCCAGCTTGACTTTGGTGTGGTGATGTTGCCAGGTCCCCAGATCTCAGCAATTAGGTTAGTAATTAAAAATGTTTTCCAGTCGCAATTTCATGCCTGATTCACCACTTTGGCACATAGGCAGCCAGCCTGCTTTACAGTCAGTCTATAGCTCATTGTGCTGTTAGGTTTTTAAAGCGCAATTTCCCGCATTAATGTTTCTATAGCTGTTGAAGCACTTTATGGCTGTGTAATATCAATGACTAATGATACTGTTGTTTGGATTTCGGAGGCACTTTCCTGTGCACATGAAAAAAAACCCTCACAGTTTATATTCCGACAATTATGTGGGAAATAAAAGTGTCTGCAAACAAAGTATTAACAGACAATGAAAAAAAAGATGCACAACCTTACTAAACCATGGAGTGTGTGTAAGAAGAAAAGGGATTAAATAAGCACCAAGTGCTGCCTACGCCCTCCCTCCTTGGTGTAACACAATAATGCAATCTGCATATAAGACTATTTGTCTTCATTAATGATAGGGGAAGGAGAGCAGACTAATGCTCCCGGCTACAGCCCTTTTTCCTCAGCTGTCCCTATCACTGCCTGCATGCTTGCCTCTTTACAACACTTGGTCTGGTGTTATTATTCACTGTTGGGCTATCTCCTGACAGGTATGCAATGGAATGTAAATTCCCTGCCTTGTTAGGGTGCTGGAAGGCTGTGTACTTGCGGTTTGGTTAATCACTCATTCTCACCCCCCCCCCCCCCTTTTTAACAAGCGCACACACACACTTGTTACAGCCTCTTTCCTGCCTCCCTCCTGGCTGCTGAGTAGGTGATGGATGAGCCTGAAGGTGAAGAGTGAGGAAGACACATTAGGATTTGACCACATGAAGAAGCCTGCGTGTGAGGGCAGGAGAAAGTGTGCTCGCATGTCCGTCAGTTTAAGCCTGTGTGCTTTGGTTATGCATGTGGCACGCTCACTCACACACCCAGACATGGACACGCCACCCTCGGAAATCTGAACCTCGTCACAGCAGGAATGGGATCAAGAGCCATTGTTACTTAATCTCTTTGCCCTCTGTTACCTGCTAGCAACTCCTTTCACTTGGCTCCTGGCCAGCAGGGTACCATGCATTTAATACGGGAGATAAGAGAAGGTGCCGTCGCTTACTCCCTCAGGTCTTGGGGAGCTTTATGGTTTTTTAATGAATCTTCATGGGCCTAACGACCCAGAAATCTGAGGCTCGAGTCTAATGTCCTAAAATAAATAATTGATTCAGTTACAGTCCTGCACTGGTTATTTGCACCAGGGTTAAAGGCAGCTGTTTTGTTGGTGGTGTGGTTCTGTCTCTCTCTGCTTGGATGATCCAGTTTCCCCCAGCGCTGTCTGTCACTCCGCAGCCCTGTCTCATCCTCCTGGCCTCTGCTGCAACACCCTGCTGATAACCTTCCTGACAGCCCTCTTTCATGAGCCTCAAAATGTGTCCTGCCATCTTTCTCTGGGCGCTGCCACGGGTGTTATCTTCACTCACACACATTGGTCACACACAACAGCACTGTAAACGTCCCTCACAAAGTATAGAAGCTGCACATTGCCAGCAGGGCCCCCTGGAAGCTCCTGCTGGCCGGCCGTCACTCACCACATCTCCCTTCTCTCTCTTTATAGAAGAGCAAGGAAAAGGCTTAACTGTCATCTCATCTCTATCACCCATTTTCTGTGCCATTTTCATTTTTTTAATACAAACGCATGGTCTTTCAAAGCAGATCTGTGCTTTGAAAGAGAGCCGGACCGTATAATGTGACGGATACAGTATGCAAAGAATTATGAGGTGGCATTTCACTTCCCCCTGAGCATTACACAGTTGTTATCTGTAATGATTCGGGTGCTGATGGAACAAACACGTCTTCAGAGGAGGCTGGTTTTGTGTTCCGAGCTCTTCTGCTCATAATGTGCAGCATAAACATCACAATCTTCCAGCTTGTTTTGAATATGCATGCAATTAGCCAACCAAATTAAGCAGAACTAAATTAAATGGCGTTGGTGGAAACAAGCATAGCTGGTGATTTATGGTGCTGCACTGTTTACAGTGATGAAGTGCCATGGGCTAATGAAAAGCCTGGGTAAACAAATACCTGGCTTTAAAAATAGATCTACTCCTGGAAGAACAAAGGGGAGGTAAACTCCAATAAAACAAAAAACGGGGCCTGTTGCCCATTGTTCAAGTATTCTCTGGTTCTTTTGATGAACTGAACTGTCAACATAGCTGTGAAGCAAATAATTAATCAGCTGTAGCGTTGACAACACTCCAGCTTACTGAATGCTTATACTCAGACTGGCAGAGTTTAGTCCACATGACATCCTGCCAACATCCCACTTATCAAAGCTTGCTGGAAATGTGACTGACACATGCAGCTGTTTTTGAATTTTCCTATTGAATGTCCTAACAAGTCCATGTTTGTGTAGTAAACTTGAGTGGCAGGTGCTTTGTTGATTTGGAATCGTTAATAGCCTCTATTCCTATGTCAACAGGAGGCGTTGTGTACTAATATGGATTGAGGATTATGCAGATGAGAGATTGCATATTGATCCAAATGCAGTCAGATTAGATGACAAAGATGTAGTAATCTTTGGACATATTTACATATTCCTTAGGTGCTGCAATATCTCAGTTTTCTCTTTCAAGAAAGTAAAATAGAAACACTACTGCCATTAATTACAACAATCAGAATCAGAACCTCCAAATTGTAGAGAATGATCGTATATTTTGTGCCTTTCTGCAGCTCCTCTCAAAAGTGCTTTATAATGTAAACATTTTTCCTGATATTCACCTCCAGTTACTCAAACACTTAACCTGTTGTTCACATAAATTGTAATGTGCCACCCACACAGCTGATAATCAGTTGAAATCTGCATCAGCCAGTATAGCTGTTCACAGGGCTATTTATCACTGTTTGTATATGTTTCACAGAGGGCAATGTAATGGGGGTGGATATATGAAAATGTATGTGGCACTGTGTTGAGCCTTCAGGGTCGATGCGTAAAGCAGCTCTTGTGTACATAGGTGACTGTTGTTGTCATCTTAGTCCTTAATTTGAATTTGTCACTGAATTTGTCTTTGAGGAATGCTGCAAGGTGTATAGATGCAATCACCCATTAGGCAGCATGGCAGCTAGAGTCAATGATTATTCAGGAGGGCCTTGGGACGGGCAGAATTTTTGAATATATTACAAAATGCCGCAGATTCCAGTCGCCCAGAGTTTTTGCAAAAACAAAACACCTGGCTATTGAATCAGTTTACCTCAATTTTCACAGTGCTAAATGCTATTATTCAGCGGTGCAACCAAGCGATTCTGAGCCACACTCCCCCACATCGCCTCCTCATCCTCACTGTGCGGCTGCAGAGTGCAGGCAGCCTGCTGCTCCCCAAACAATTACACGCTAATCTGCAATGTGAAATGAGTATTAGGCTTTTAATCTCATAGGAAGAGAGTCCCCTACTTCACCCCAAAGAAGGGGAAGTTATATTATCTTCCAGAGTTTCTGACCTTCTGCCATCATTCCCAGTGCTGCATCCCCACCGCTCCACAACCCCACAACTCTCCCATCAGGATAGACGGCAAGAAGCTCCTCCTTCCAGCCACCGTTCTCTAGATTAGCCCCCTGACACCGCAGGCCTGGCTATTTAATTGCTTGTCGGACTGAATATTCTCCAGTTTCCCCCTTCATGTAGCTTGCAGATATTGCTTCTCATTAGCATGTCATGTACTACCACCATGCTGCAATTCCTCGCAGGGAGGAAGACAGACAAGTCCACAAAATTATGCTCATCCTCCCACTGAAAACCAGCCTGTATACCAGTGACACACTTATGATTATGAATACAGCTGCATTCTTTTCATCTGAGGCAGCTGAAGTAGCACCTAATCAACAGCTCTTTAGATGACGGGGTGTTAGTCTGAATCACAAATGTGACTCTAAAAATCTGGCAAAATAATTGGTGTCATTCATTTTAGTAAAACTCAGTGTTAAAAATTGACTTAACAATCTTGAGTCCTTAAGTGAGATATACAGTGTATTTTAATGGAAGTCTCTGACAACTTATTCACTTGTTCCAAAGTGGCCCTGTATATTCACTACATGCTGGCTAATTTACATCTGCCAATCTGCTCTTATTCTCCTCTCCTCTATTCGTTGACGTCCTCCTGAGTCAAGTAAGGTCAATAATGTCCTTACATGACTGATGTGTTGTATAGTTGTCACACTGATGATTTCAGAGCACTTTGATGGGTAGTGTAAGGCTACCATTGAAGGTTTTTCTTGCAAATGTTTATCCACAGTCTGAATTTCAGTCTGATCTAATATAATGAACAAGTCAGGTTTTGGCTTTTACTTCTGAAGTGAAATCAGGCTATCCACATTTTTTGATATTTTATATCTTTTCCGATTTTTGGATCTCAACCGGTGTTCTTATGGGAATTTTGGGCTAATTGGAGGAGCAACACCTGCATTATTTGTTCTTTCTTCTTTTTAAGATCTTACAGAAAGAACTGTCACTGTTTTTGAGGCTTCTTAATTGGCAGGTAAGGGCATTGTTTTCCAAAACTGATTAAATCACACTGAATTTAGTTTATTTTCCGTACTTTCACCCACTGCAGTAAGACCTCCAGCACCATGGACAGAGGCATTAAATTGTCCTTAATAACATTGCGAGTGTTGCCTTGCTGGAAGATCTGTATTTGGAAATCGATGTAAAAAAAAAAAAAAAACACATACTCATACAATCTTAACCTCCAGAGGCTCACACAGTAGCCCTCCAAAGCTGCTCCTGCCGGACTACGTGTCTTCATTAGCCTTGGCTTCTAACACTATAGCTTCCGCTTGGATGATGAAAAAACATTCCCCTCTCCACCCCATTTATTAAGTATCCCCAGCTATTTAACAAGTGGCCCTTCCTCGGTGACAGATATGCTTTTGCAAGAGCACTCAATTTACCCTTGTAATACCCTGGCTGAACATTATTTAAGGGGCAAAGCGCCTGGGGAGTGTCCACTACCAGGATGGATTGCTCTGAGGTTTGTTCCAGTGAAGAATATTGTCTACATTATTGTGTATCTTATTAGAGGCCCATGGTCTTTTTTTTTTTCCAAAACCGAGCACTAAGTATAACAACAGTACGTATGCTGATGTTCTGTATCGTGTGACTTTCTGTAGCTGAGCTCGACGCAGCTTAGCAGTAGTAGTAAACTCTGTCATACAGCACATCAAGCATTACTTAGAAGTAAAAGGAGGGATTCATTCATGGCTGCATTGCATGTTTCTTGTGCATCTCTGTGTCCCTTTTCAGGTAAGGTTGGGGGATCAATAGGATTTTATTGAATTTGAGTCCAGAACTAAGTCTCTATACTGAATATAAAACCTTGGATATTTTAATCAACCTGGAACTTATTCCAAAGTGGGACCAGCTATCAAAACCCAACCCAACTATTAGAACTAACTTATCTTCCTTTTCAGTGCTGTTATATTCCTTCCTCTTCTCATCTACAGCTGCTGCTGATTCTTGGATCACAATATAAACCTTATCTATTTTTCACTTACCCCTTCTTTCTTTTCTCTTTTTCTTCCCTCTGTTTTCTGTCATTACTTCCCTTTCCTCACTCCCTCTGTCGTTGTCCATTTATACCTCTCGTTACTGTCCTCTCCTTCACTCCACCTCTCCTCTGGTGACTTGGGCGACACTTGCAGTAGAGATTAAAGTGATCAAGGACCTACCATGGCCCCCTCCTGTTGGGCAACTCAACACCAGCCCTCCCCCGGTGGAGGAGCTGGAGTCTCCCTCCCAGACAGCTCAGCCCTCGCCAGGACAGACGAGCTGTGACCAGCACCACCATGGTGGGTGTTGGTGTTCACATTGTCCATCAGTTACCCCCACCCCCTAACCCCCTCCTTCCTGTTGGTCTGTCTGTCCATCCATCCATACAACAATCCATTTGTCCATCCATCAATTCATCCAACAATGTCCTTCAGTGTGTCTATCTGTCTATCTGATTTCATTCATGAAGACTTTGACCAGGAGAGACTGTGTGTGCTCCCTTTAAATCAGAAGCATTAAAATGTGATAGGTTGCATACGTAATATGTGAAAGCATTCCTTTTAATCTGCTGGACAGTGATGACTTACTTACTAAGAGTTCACATCTTTTAGGGGCAATATGACTTGAGGTATTAGCTCAGTAATGGCCATACTTTTCCATCTGGATTACATGTGGCAGAAAATCACTAACTCTTGTGCAGGTTTTAGGGCTGAAGGCTCATTAGTTTTAATTGTGCTGAACTGCCTTCTGCATGGGTAATTGCCGTTCGCTGTGACCCCCATTTCCTCTTGTCAACATACTCATAACCGTCCCAGATGTCCCTCTGGCCTGCTGTTCCCTACAAGTGGCTTACATGAATTGAAAAACCAAACTCATTTGAGGCAATTTCAGTTCATGACTTGCATCTCTTCACCTCAGGTTTAACCATATTTACCATCTTATCAAACACAATGGACAAGTAATTGATCTATTTTCAACCAATAGAGCCTTTAGTTGATTTCTGAAGCCGTTCCACAGACTCACACTCTGACTGCTGTAATTACCCAGGGAAAAGAAGGACGTGTACCAGAACTAATGCCAGGAATGGGATTTCCCCTGGCAGAGTGGGAAGACTTAAGAGTGAGGCCATGTAAGAGGACACCGCTGTGTGCTGTAGGCGAGGAAAGGGCAAGGAGTTGATTTATGTCCATAAATCCATGGGAAAGGTTCTGGTTCCCTCTGTGATGTGAGTGGGTTTAAGATTGGCGTCCAGCTGTAAAGTGATCCTCTCTCTGTCTGAGCCAGTATGGCCCCACTCTACATCTTTGGGGTCAAAGGTCACTTTGGCAGACACAGGGGGGGCTGATGACCTCCACGACCCCTGCGAATACAGTTACAATGCACTCTCTTGACCTCAGCGTACAGGCAGACCCTTGTCACACACCAAGACATTACTCATCCATTATACACAGGATTGTTTACATACTCAACACTGGCTCAGCCGGCGTAAAGAGCTGAGGGTCTGTATGTGTTTTATAAAGGCTGTTGTGGTTTGCTATAATATAGTGCAGGAGTAAAACAATATCCATGACAGTTCAAAGAAGTCTGTCTTGTCTTCTCAACCTCATTACCAAAATTTAAATGAGGCTTGACAGGGCAGATTTTACATCTACATATAAATGGAGGTCTCTTTTTTTCCTGAATATAATGCCTTTGTTTTTTGACATGAATTAATTATCCACACTTTGAAGCATTTCTCCTACCTTCTCCTTCCTCTAATCCACAGTAAGAAGACTTTAAGAAAACGAAGAAATTAAAAGATATCCAGATTTAATTTTGAATACAACCCCTAGATGACACTTTGGTGGGTCATTCCTTTGTCTTGGAAAAACTAATTAGAATATCATTTTGGTATTTATATAAAAGAAGAAAGTGCATTCCCAGATGGCAGAATCATTAGAGATTAAACTTCTCTGCTCTAAAAATAGAGCATTTATTAAAAGCCGTCCAGCAAATCATTATTTAAGTTCCCAATGCACATAATTAATATCAATAAAACAGTGAGTGATTTATTTGAAGGTATCATACCACGCTGAGCACTATTTTCAGTGTGTAGTGCTTTCTAATGAGATGCAGACCTGTTAATCATTTCACACGTTCTAGCTGGAAAACTCAATTTTCACCTCACAATATAGCAGTCGATGGCTCGCTTCGCCCCTCAGACTAGTCATCCTTTTTGATAAGTGTACCATTAGTAAATGAGAATTAATTAGCCATTTTAATTAGAGGAATTTGCGCAGGAGTGTGTGAAGAGAGGGAAGAGTAGTCAGGTTGTTCACTTCAGCCTCAGTGATGAATGTAACTACAGTTTTAGTGCTGTGGCTCCATTGTGGCTCTGCAGTGAAAACAAGCCCAGTGAGAGTGAGGAGAGTGACACCCTTGAAAAGTTTACTAATCCATTGCGTGTTTTTTTTTTTACTTGAGTTTTTATGGCATTATTTTGTTTTGTGTTGTGCTCTGCTCTGCTGTAATACACTGCTGCACTTCATGTTGTTTTGGTCATAGTGTAATCATGGAAATGTCATTTTGACCTCTGTGTTTATCTGTGTCGTAGCCACTCAGCTCCCTCTCTCACACATTCTTCCTCTCTCCCCAACCTCCTCTGCTTTTTAATTTTCTTTACTTTGATTTTGTAGAGCTCTTTAAAGGAAGCTGTGTGTCTTCAGGGGGCATTTCTTTCAGCCGTCAGTCACCATCTGATGGACACTTCAATCTGATACACAGATTCCATTTGCTGCACTTTACAAGCAACAATAGCAATAACACACACACACACACACACACACACGCACGCATTACCCTGCATATTTACGTAATGTGTCTTTGTGTGTGAATGTGTGTAGACGTGTGTGTGTGTGTTCACTTGGATGTATGTGCACACTCTGTCTGTCTCTCTTAAGCCGCCTCTCAGGGCTTTTGTTCTCCTGTGGCCCAATCCTCTCGTCAATCTCCTGTCGGCCATGTCTCGGACTGTGTGCTCCAGAGAATGAAAGGGGAATGAGTTCGGTTCGCTCCCATTGATATTCAGCCTTAAAGCAGAATTCTAGAACAGTTTGAAGCCAGTGCTGGTAAGATGGCTGGCAATCAAAGCAGACATGGCACCATTCACACTTGAGCAAATAAAGTGATAGCTTTTGTTTAGTTTGGAGGCTCCCCTCGTCAGGGTAATATTCTTGTTGTAGAACTATGCACTCTGCCTTTGGGAAAGTCTCCGCTCTGACAGGAAAGGTTGACAGGGTGAGCTCCACTGAGAATAGCTAGTCAACCCTTTCTAGGTGGAGGAGGAAAGAGAGGTTTAATCAAGGTCAAATAAAGCACTGATTGTGTTGAATTCAGGGGGAAGGAGGAATCGGTGTGGGCACTGAGAGAATGGAAGAAATGGGAAGAGCTGAGGTCAGGCGGATGGTTGAGTGGGCTGTAGATACACCGAGAGATGGACTGTGTGAGGAAACCAAGATAGCAACATTCATCCTTATGCCACAAGAGCAGATACCATTTCCAGCCTCATGTGTTTACTGTAGATCACTGGTGAATTGAAGAAAAAAACACATATGATGTTTAAAGAATAATTTATATCTGGACAGAAACATTGGGGATAACAGATCAAGGCTGTTACTGCTCTGTCTCTCCTTTCTTTTGTCAAGACATTCCTCCACAGTCCATTTCCCACTATCTTTTTCTGTCCTTGACGTGTAAAAAAAGAGGAAAGGACTGAGCGAGAGAAATGGGGCCAGAGAATGTGAGATGGAAAGATCAAAAGAGAAGGTGAGGAGGAGAAAAAGAGGAAGGGCCAGACATATGCAAACAGGAAGAGAAATTAAAAGTGAAGGAAGGAGAGAGAGGGAGAGCAATTGGCTGCGTCTTCATGTTGTGATCTGTCAGCGTTGACGGGGATGAGCAGAGCAAACATGCATCTCCCTTGTCCCCTTGGTCAGTTTCCATGGAAACGCTATTTCTCACCCTTACACATATACTGTATGTTCATCCTACTCGCACTGTATTCCCAGCAGTCAGCATGTAGTTCAAATGGACTGCAGGAAAAACAAAAAAGTCGAGAACTAATGACATCTTTCATGTAGACTACACAGGAGCATCATTTGACTGCCTATAGTCCGAGCATCAGACCCTGAGGAAGCGAAACTTAAGATCATAGTCTTCTACAAGTCTTGAGGTTAGAGCCACAATTTACCCAGCTGTCATGCAGCAGTACAATTTGGCTGTCATTTTAAGACTCAGCTGTAGCCCTATAACGAACTGAAGTGCAGAGGCCAAGATAACAACAGTAGTTGGACTCATTTGGAATAATCATTTCCATGAGTTTATGTTTAGGGAAACGCATCAGTGAGCTCAAGGCCAGTGAGTTCAACCCAGAGTTGAGTGTGGAGGTGAAGGGGAGCCCCTGGTGGTTGGAGCTCAAACAGCAGCTTTGTGTCTCAGCATCTTTATCTGCTGTTGGATCATGTTCCCTCACAGGCACATGATGTGTTGGGAGAAGTACTCAGATTCTTTAGTAAAAGTCATAATACAACAGTTTAAAAATATTTGGTTACAAGTAAAAGTATTTCCACCTCTGATACCAAGATCCCAGGATGCACCACTACAGGTTTACTGTCTCAGTAGAAGTCGTTCTCTTTAAATCTCTATCAAAGCCGATTGGCAATAGAGAGTTACTGTTTTCACCATTTGTATGTATTTTTGAATTTACAGTATCTACAGAAGGTCATGTGTTTGCCCATTTAGCCTCACTTAGGGGTGTCCACAAGCTGAATGAAATTTGTTGACGTGGTGTTGTCTCTTGTAGCCTTAATTGATGGATTGATATTGTCAGCCCCTCCACTCAGCGTGATGTAGGAACACTTGGCAAGCTCACAAAGTGTAATGCAATCATCTGACTGAACTGCCGAGTCTAGACAATTGTAGGCCCATCTCCATCGACATGTTGTGAAGATCACAGTGCCTGTCTGTCTGTACAGTAGCTGCCACGTTCAGCCCGAGTAATTAAACACTAGTCGCAAGACTGGCCATTAGTGACAGAGAACTGCAAAGGAATCTGTGAGCTTCATACTACACTAACTCCTTCCATCAAAGGCTCAGCTTTGATATGTTGATCTTAAGCCTCAAAGCAGAAAACAATCTCCAGCTAAAGCTTGTCATACGGTTGATGTAGGAAGCCGGGCCTCTGTTATGGCTTGAGAAGCATGTCAGTAGCTCTAGGTAGGTCTTTCCAACGCAGAGGGTGCTGTGACATCAATTATACTGATGGATGGCTGAGAGGGAAAACGGCTAAAACACACATGTACACACATACAGATGACCACAACCTCCGCTGTTGAGCCTTTCATTCCCTTGGCCTCCATAACCCTCTACCAGAAGTGCAAATTCACTTTCACTTGTCCTCATAAATATTATCTTCTCTTTTGTTCTCATGTTAGCTTTTGTAAATAAACGTAAAGGCTTTTTTTTTTTTTTTCTGTGTGCTGATTGGTTGTGAATTTGCCCAGTGACCTTCGCCAGTCATGTCATGAGCACAGGTCACCTCCAGCCCCCACATGCTTTCCAACACTTCCCTGTGAGGCTGCCAGGAGAGCTTGTCATGTCCACAGTTAACCGTGAGAGATTGAAAAGCCAGTTTAATGTTTAACTTGCAGTACTTCATGCGTGGGATTTATGTGCACGTACAACTTTCTATATTTGTGCATATGAATTTTTCAGGTGTGCTTGTTTGTATGATTGAATACATTTGTGTTCTTAAAGAGTGACATACACTGTAGAATATATGGCTGTATTTACAGACATGTGGTTGTTTGAGTGGTTTGGAGGAAGTTTCCATGTGTGTGTATTTGCTCTCAGTGGAATGTGTACACAGTGGGGGAGAATTGATTTATTTCTCCTCCATTGTGTGTACATGTCCTTCAGTTGGAGGAGTTACACAAAGTGACACTATGTGTGAGTGTGTGTGAAAGCACAACCTAAATTTCAGTTCTCGCGCAGTGCGCTGATCTAGTTCAGTAGAAACATTTACCAGCAGATTACGTCATAACTTTTACAAATGTCTGCTTCTTATTAAGCACACTAGCCCTTTCAAGTGACCTTGAACTGATTGTGAATGTTTTTTTAGTTGTGAATGTTAAACATTTTAGTTGTGAATGTTAAACATATCCAGAATAAAATCTTTCAGCTGATTTCAGCATTTTCTTTTTTATTACAGTCCAGTTTGATGGTGTGGAGAAGTCTCGAATGTCTCCTACAAAGGACGGGAAAACTCGCCCCCTGCAGCGACACTCCAGCGGCTGCCTGGTCAACACTAAAATGACGTCACTAGACCACTGCAGCTCCTCTCTCGGGGAGCGTATTGACCCCACCATGCCCCTGGAAAGCCAGTTGTGAGTCAGATCTTGTTTTGTTTTGTTATGACTGGAATTTTTTAATTATTTAAAATACACCACTTTTGCCCTTTTGTTCATGTTTTTGTTTTGTGTTAGAGCAGCTTTGACCCTTGTTGTTTGATTTCCCTTGTTCTCTTTTATTCTTACCATTCCTCTGTAAAGCCTTCTGTCTCTGTTTCCTCTTGGTCACTGTAGCTGGTACCATGGAGCGATCAGCCGAACAGACGCAGAGTCTCTGCTCAGGCTGTGTAAGGAGGCCAGCTACCTGGTGAGAAACAGCGAGACTAGCAAGAACGACTACTCCCTCTCCCTCAAGTAAGGACAGCAGTCTCATCACATATTGTGTTGTTATAGTAGAGGTAGGGTCAAAAAGTAATTGCACAAGCTCCATACAATTTAGCCCGATAAAGTGTGACAGAGTTGGCAAAATCAAGAGTCTGTGTTTGTCCACAGAACACAGAAACGTATCAAGTGTCATAGCAGCTACACGTGTTTACTGGTGGATTACAAACAGTGGACAAAACTAACTTGCTTGTAAAGGTCCTTGTACACCTGTTCCCCAATAGTCTGCTGACTCTGCCTTTTCAGTATGGAAATTAATTTCACCTTTCAGACCTCTGTCTCCCACCTACATCCTGCCTGTTCCTTGTCCTCCACCTCCCCCTGGTAACCCCTCTGACATTGTCGGCTCCTGGATTTTCCGACGTGCCCGCAACTCAGTTAATAGCAACCCCTGATCTGTGTCACACCCTGCAGAGAGTTCAAAGGAGCCACTGTGATTGGTATAGTCTAGTCTGACATTTGGTAGAGGTTACTTTAGCGTGAAGGCCCGCGGTTCAGTCACATCCCATTCTTTTGATAGAAACATACGGCTATGGTGGTTTTGGTTTGATGATTTTCACTTCTCCTAGCTGCCAGGATCAAGTGCCAGGGCAACGCTGTCAGAAACATAACCAGAAATTTGTCGATGTCTGAAAAATTGACAAAACCAACTGTGAAATTTTAATTTCTCAGCTATTAAATCTTAGTATCCTTGTTGACAAATGCTCTTTTCACTTGACTTTATATGAAGGCCATTTTACATTACAAGGCAGGCTCAACCATGTGACATTTAGAAAAATCTCCACAATTCTGTGAGGACCTTCGGATGAGATGAAACTATAATATGCTGAGAGACATTGATTAGCCTTTGTTATTACAGCAGAACACATCTAGCTGGAGGCTTATATATCTTGGCAGGGAGACGATGCTTTTCATTGCTCCAACTCTCTTCATGCTGTTGTAGCTGACTCCCCGTCTGACTTCCCGTCTCAGTGACTGATCATCTGCTTAGGCTTGTGCGACTGCTTCTTCTTCTGCCTTACTGACTGACTAAAATCCTGACTTACTAACTGCTGGCTAGCTGACCAACTACTGGCTATGACTGATGCCGAACAAAAAACCCTAACCCTGTCTGACTGGTTGAGGACTAGACTCCTCAAACATTCACATTTCAAAACACACATTGTCTCTGTCACCACACAAATACGCACAGCCCAACCATGAGTATGACATTCAAGCAGGCAACAGTTAAGAGACAATCTATATATATATATATATATATATATATACTACATTCCTATCTTGAATGTAAACAAACATAAAAGAACTACGAACCAAAACATAAGAAACTAAACACAGATATGGTAACAGTGCATACACAACCTTTTTGTTGCATAGTATTTGACCTGAAGGCAATACAGACATTTCCTCTGGGACATCCAGGATAGTCAACAGCATAACAACTATTGATCATGTATCCTATATGGATCCTATATATACAATACTGTAGCTGTACGAACCCCAGAGCATGAACTTCAAAACCACACAAAAACAGCACAATATTCATCCACGCATTATTAAGAAGCAGCTAGTGTAACCAATCTGGATTTTTCATTGTTAGATCATAAACTATGAAACAGGCATGTAAGATGTAAGTATGTCCCAAGTGGACGAGACCTTTATCTTATCTATAAATTAGATAGATAAGATAAATATAATTTTTTTTTCTTTTGAAGGAAGACCAGAAAGGTGCTAAAGATGTTGCCAAGCAACATCTTAAATTAAAGTTTTATTTGATTTAGTGTGAGTTTAAAAATGCCTCAGTAATGGCCTTACTAACATTCATGTATTTACACTAATTCACATCCCACGGCTGTCCGTCTGACCCTCAATAATGAGCTGCACTATTAGAGCAGGTAATAGGGGGGTACAGTAAAGTGTTTTGTTAATGGGCAACTCAGTTGGAAAGGTGAGAGAAGCTTTATTTTAGCTTTACCATCTTCTTGCCACGCCTCTCTGAGCTAAAGGCTATGGTTTGGAGAAACTAAAAGCAAGTTGGGAGTTGATTTCTGTGGCACCTGTAATAGCTGTTTGTCACACTGAGAAGTAGAAGAAGAGTAAAAGAAAAAAGCCATGCTGAGAAGACTGAATTACTTTCAGTATAGTAGAGATGTTTCAATCCTGTGGCTCAGTGGGACCTGTAGCATAGTTTGACCTGGACTTACTCTTACCACATTTGCCAGGTAGTTGACTCCAGGTCCAGCCTAAAGGTCTTTGGGGCCTAAAGCAGAATGGGATTCAGGGGTGACCTGATGGCCTTAAGCAGACTGCAGGCTATGGCTGCCCCTACTATTCCTTCAGTGAATGAGGTTGGCTTTGATGATGGCAAATTTGATAGCAAGGTTGTGAAGAAATTAGCTTCTAAAGAGTAATTATCTTGGCATCAAGGCCAATGGGTTTCATTTGTGTTAAGTAGTTAAGCAGTTTTTTTTCTATATATTGTAATGTCATGGAAAAGTGCTCACGATTTACTGTATTTGCACGCTGAATATCTGACAGGTTCAATTTCATATTATATTCATTTTCAAGTTTATTGGAATTCAGTTAAAACCTAATAAATTCAATATCAAATTATGCCATTCAGTTTTTGATGCAATTTTTCAAGTCGAGCAATTCAAGTATAAATGATTCACATTCAGTTTTAAAAATGAGCAAGTCATTGGCATAGAACATGTTTCCTGAAGGTTTCTGCCTCTATGTGTGTGTGTGCACGTGCGTGCGTGTCGGCATTGATGTGTATATTTGTGTGAATCAGCTCCTCGGCATCACAGAACCTCATGTTTCGTGCATTTGGCTTGAGCCTAAAAAACAATCAGCGGGCTGATTCGCGGGAATGACAGGTGCCGCCGCGCTGCAGGCGGAGGTGATTCTGAGTTCAGCCTTCTCACATGCCTCCCCTGCTGCCACTGAAAATGAGCGCAAACCCAAGGTGAAGATCCTCCATGTATGAGGTTGCTGAAAAATGTATAAGGCCATGAGGTGGCACCTATGTGTATTGCATTATTGATAAAGACAGACGTTGCTCGGACCTTCAGCTTCAGGAGTGCTCTGGCCTGACGGATAGCATTTTCTGTCTGTTGTGCCCTCCTAACCCCTTTTTTCTGTTCACCTGCTCCTCACACCCTCTACCATCCCACCTGTCCTTATCTCTCTTTGTTTTCCTTCTGTGGCGAGAAACCTTTTAGATGTTTGAAACATATTAAAGCCTTCAAAAGTCTCTCAGAGCACAGTGTCTTCACCTCATGAGAGAGCCCTGCACAGCGTGTTTCCACTGGCTGAGCAGAGAAATTGTCAGTGAAAGAAGAAAACCTATCCAACAGAAACGGTTTGATGCCGGAGCACAGCTAAAGTCAAATTAGATAGCGAATTGAAAGAGCAACCAAAAAGTCTTTGCATCTGAAATCGTACTCATCTTACAAAGACGCTTCATGCTTTTATGATGGTTTTATTATTATTATTAATAATATTATTATTATTACAGTCAGACACAAAAGATCAGGTTTCCTTTATGTTGCGCACTTGAGACAAATCAACCAGACTGAACCTAAATGACAGATTTTGTTTCTTAAACTTCTGAGCCTGCTCCACACCACCAACTATATCCGTTTTTCATCAATTGTGTCTTACAGAATGGTTAAGGATCATCCTGGGTAGGCTCATTCAATTTGTGCTCATATGAAATAATGGGCACGCAGGATATCTGATGCCCAGTAATGCTTAAAAAGGTCATTGCTTCTGCCAGGGATCATTATCTTTTGGCAGATGACTTTGCCTTTTTTTCTGATGCAATAGATTCATAACACTGAGAACATCATTCATGGAGCAATCCAATACGTTGCAGTGGGAGATAAGCAGTGATTGCTGTCGGGCTGTTCCTGTTTTGAGGTCTAGAGGGTTCAAATCAAAGTCATAGACCTCAATAAACAGGACAGCAGACCTCCCCAGTGAGATTAATCCTGATTAGACAATAGAAGCCCACAAACACAGGGATATGATAACACCACAAAGGCCTGTCTTCTCAAAAATAGCCCTGTATTAATTTTATCAGCAGCCGTGCTGTATTGCTGTGTTGTCCTGGTTTCTGTCTCTGCAGGACTGTAACATGATAAGCCGCCCTGAACACAGACTGGAAAATCAGTTGGGGATCTAAAAATTATGCTATTGATGTATTTGCCTTTTTAAGTGTGGCTCTGTGTAACCTGACACCTGTCTCCCAACGCTCTGCATGAAGATTCATCAAACGTACTTAGCAGGGAGGATTTTTTTTTTTTCTTCAAATGAGCTCTCCTGGCACCACTTGCAGAATGGTGGAATTGTAGAGACCTGTGGCAAGGGAAATTTGTCCTGCTCTCCTCCAATCATGATGAACTTGTTAATGTCATGCTCAAATATCGAGGCCAGAGGCACAGTAATGGACAAGTCTGATAGTTGTGTTTACTTCAGCCTGCAGCTTTTTACCCCAGCTCACCTAAAAAAAAAAAAAAATGTCAGCAGCGAAGTGTTTGAAATATGTGAGATATTTTCCATCATCTGCCATATACAGTACATAGGGTTCTACAGCTTCATAGTCTGTCTGTAATAATAATTCTAATCACAGCAACATTAAAAGGATTGGACTCATCTATTGAGATAAAGCATAATCTCACAGGAAGCTATGACTTTGCATTGGTTTGAATATGTTCTTATTCTTGATGGATGACCCTAAACTGAACCCTCTATGTTCTTTGCTTTTTTTTTCTCCCCCACTTCAGTGTTTCTCTCTGTGCATGAGGGAGAGAACACATCCGCAGGCTTTGCACATGCAATTACGAGATAAGTAAAGAATGGACTTGCCTCTCATTCAAGGTGCCTAAAGCCCAGTCCTTGCTCCTGTTCTTTACAGATAATGGGCACATCCGCAAATATGTACATGTATTTACAGTGAGAATATATTCAATGACCTCAAAAACAGTAGTTGCTTTAGTTTGTCTGCCTAATTATTCGTGAACCCATATAATAACGAAATGATAGGAACAAATCTAAGTGGAAAAGCGGAGCATGGCGTGTAAACCTCATAAACACTTGACCACCCCATCTTATTAAAACCGAAATGTGTTCTTTTGTCTGTCACTGTCAGAATAATATTCCCTCAACATACTGCAGGTTTGTTGATTGACTAAATTTCTCCCCTAACTAACTCTATATGAGAGTCCTGTTCCTCAACAGGACTCGGCTCTGGCTGCTTGTCACAGAAAGGGTTGGTTAGAATTGGTAATGCTTGGGGTTCCTTCTTGTCTTTTTTTTTTTTTTTTTTTTTTTTTTTTTTTTTTTTTTTTTCATTTAATTTCATTTCAGCAGCTGGAGTTATATTTCAGATGAGGGAAAAAAAAATCCAGTGGGAGTTTAGTGTGCTGATGGCAGATGCACATTATGTTGATGACAGGCCATAATGTCCACTTGTAGAAAGTGAGTGCATAGTATCTGAGCCTACAGCAATCATAACTAGAAGCATTAGCGGCTGATTGAAAAGGCTATTATGCTAATGTATTTTGTAAAGAGAAACAATCAAAATAGTATATTTATTACAGGATATAGGGGCCATTAGTTTTGTATCAGCCCCTTGCTAAAGCTTACTGTTGCATCACTTAACAACCCCTCCCCCCAAAGAAAGTAATTTTCAATTCTAAGGCTTAAGATTACTGGCAAGGTGTAAAATGTATTGATCGAAGGGTCCTAGAAACACACTGGGAGCTTTTAATTTGCTGTGCATTTATTTCTTGAGCTTAAGTGATTCATCCCGGGGGTTCATTAGCAACATCCTTATGCTCTGGATGTGAAACCCAGACCCTTAAGCAACCTGCCTTTTAGTCTGCTCCCCAGACAGCTCTAAAGTTATCAGAGGTAATCCAGCTTTCAGAACATTGTCACGTACTGTAGGGAGCAGCTACTGCGGGAGTAAATGAGAAATGGGCTGTCAAGGAGGGGTGATCTTCTGAGTTTCTCATATATTCAGTTTCATTCTTACATACCTCTCTCTTTATGTATTATATTTTTAGCCATGGTAATGGCGTTGCTCTAGGGATGGCGTTGTCAGCCTGTCTTTCAGTGGATCCACCACTTTGTTCCAGACTGAAATATCTCAGCAACAATTGGATTAATTTTCATAAAAATGTGCACAGATATCCACAGTTCCCAGAAGGCGACACCTAATGACTTTGGTGACCCCCCTCTTTTTTCATGTAGCACTATCTACAGGTCCAAGTTTAGACTTATCCAGTGACATATCTCAACATCTACAAGACAGATTGGCACTCTTGTTTCCATAGACTTTACTTTGTCATGACATCCACATAAAAGTAGCATTTCTTAATTGTTACGGCTGTGGTCTATACTGCTATTTTTGTTGTATGTTTGCTTCTTTTTGTGGCTTGACAGGTGGCGTGATGTGATTATATGCAAATGAGTGTTTTCCTGGGACAAGCCCGTGATTGGGGCGTAGCTTTCGCAGTGGCAGCTGATTGGCTCCTGTCCCTGTCCACCAAGACTTAAAGAGCCAAGATGGCGCGGCTAAGCAGCAAGGGGAGAGACCCACTTCTTCCGCCAGTCCCAACTGGCCACACTTGTTCACCGCCATGCCTTGTGATATTTTGAGAGTTTGTAGGGGTGGACTGCCTTTTTCTTTATGATCACCTTTTCTCCTGTTTTTGTTAGAGAGGGAGCTTAGTTGATGTATTTTGGTTTGGTTATCTTTAGGCAAGTTATGTTGATGTTTTGTTTTCAAGTAGACTTGTCTTGTTTGTTATTTTGGCCTGTATCCACCCTGAAGTTATAAGTCACGCTCTCCTGTATATAAAAACACCGGTTGTTACATTTAGCAATTTGTTTGCGGCTACTTGGGACTTGGGGAAGATGGGGGATTCCTGTTGTGTCCCGGCCACCCCTAGATGGGACATAACATAAATACTAGGAAAATTTTTCAAATATAAAACCTCCATGGCTCAAAAAGACATAGTACATTACACTATTAATAACTGATGTGGTTCATGTTGTGCTGTCAGGAGTTTTACAGACATCTTTTGATAGTTATACATTCATGATGCTAATGTTAGCGTTAGCACAAAGCACCGCTGTGCTTAACAGAGCCGCTGATGTAGCTTACACTCTAAATCTTGTTTCACCTTGTGAATAATTCTTCATGCAACAATTCCGAAAATATTTTGTATGACATAGACTCTTCATCTTGTTTTTATTGAACTAAGAACATGTTTTCTGTCCCTGTCTTTTGTCTTTCTCTGTCTCCAGGAGCAGCCAGGGCTTCATGCACATGAAGCTGTCGCGGACAAAAGAGAACAAGTACATCCTGGGCCAGAACAGCTGCCCTTTTGACAGCGTGCCTGAGATTATCCATTTCTACTCCAGCCGCAAGCTGCCCATCAAGGGTGCCGAACACATGTCCCTGCTCTACCCTGTAGCCATCAGGACTCTATAGTGCTATGGGTCACCTGCAGGCATCGGGCCCTGCAGTACTCACTGGACCACCCTGTGGCTCCAGTCTTCCTGTCCTTCTGGACAGAGCCCTCTCAGCTCATGGGAAGACAAACAGTTGCATCCCAAACTGCTGATCCTGACTCACCTCACTGGCCGACAGAATCCAGACCTGTTTTGAAGGCCTACTGCATAGTTTCTCATACTTACAGACTCAATGTTTGCAAGTCTTTGTTATTTTATTTTATGTTATTTTATTTTATTTTATTTATGACAGGCACCCACTTCATTACATCGCAGACTGACTATCTGATGAACATAATTTCATTTACTCTTGAGCTGACTTCCCACAGCACTTAACACTCAAAGAAAAAAGAAAGGTACAACATTGTAACATTTGTCACTGGGGTGTACCTACTATCATAACTCGTTGTACCGTTTTTCCTACGAGTGCACATCATGGCAATTGTGTATGAACAAGTACGTCTGATTTTCTTGTTTGGTTAGGCTCTACTGATACTGTAATTGTTTGTAAGGGGACTTGAAGATTGTAAGAGCCGTGCCAGGGAAGCGACTTTTATGAGGCATGTTAAAGGATATTGTCCACATGGGCCTCATACAGTGGCCAGGATATTGAATAAACTGGCCTCGTATGAACAGTGAGTCCCCCACATGGAGACAACAGGCCTGTGAGCTGTGCAGACTGATCTCTCTATCTTGTCATAGTGCATGCTGACTGCTATCCATCACTGAGTGGGTGTATCACGCCAATGACAGTGTAAGTACCATAGTGGTGAGACAGGCAGGAGAGCATGATGGATGGGTCATCCCATCTGACACAGTACAATTGGCTGAGGCTAGAGACCAGAGCCTGTCCAAATGGACCAAATTACCCCCACTACCCCTGCTTAGAATGGCTTTGCATCGGGAGAATGAAATATGCCTGCATTGTCTACCTCAGAAAATCAATTTCATTCGCCCATCTGCAGATCAATAGGTACAATGGGATTGCAGACATCGATCTGCCCTCCCTTCGACATTCCCAATTCCCTTAAAATTGCATCATTGGTTTTAGGAATATGTTTTTTAATACAGTTAATCCAAGTTTTTTTTAGGAAAACATTTTCATAAAAAAAAAAAAGAAGAACAGATTTTCCAGATCAGCAATTGTATGTATAGTCACTAATATGATACAGTGTGATGTCAGTAACAAATGTTTGGTTAATGCCTTATAATGCATGGATCAAATCAGTCAGCGAGATCAGATGATTTCCAATTCTGCTTTTAACGATTGTTCTGTGACTGTAATTTATTCTGGGGTAATTATTACTGATGTGTTACTCCTTTGTGATGGCCCGGCACCCCCCCCCCCCCCCCCCCCCCCCCCCCCCCTCGCCCTCACTGTCCTGTGCCGATGTGATCGTGTTTTTGGGACTACTCCAGCCTCTTTTACTGTGGTGCTTTGCATTTTTTCGTTGCTTCAAGTTCTGCTAAATGCACGTTTGCCTCAGTGGCCTGACTCTGGGACACGAGTCACGGCGTCTCCTGACCAACGGGATTGTCAAGCCTCACATGAGAGATGATGGCATATTCTCCTTGGACCAATCACAGCGCAGCCTGTTTGAACCTGATAAACACCTACCTTCAACCTGTCATATTTCCACTTAGCAGTAAAATCTATCATCTACCCTTTACTTACCAGATGTGCATACATGTGTGAATGTGCGTGAGTGTGCAGGTGTCCCAACGTGTTCACATGCACGCCGTTTGTATGCAAATGGGAATATGTGCACAGACTTTCTGAGTCCCAGTGTGTTTTTAACCCTGCTGGTACAAACTGCTGACAGTTATTGCTTGAATATATTTGGTTGTCAGCGCCTTTTTTTTTTTTCTCCCTTAAACTAGAATTCAGCCCTAGGACTCACTAATTTTATTTTTCTTCTTGAATTCACTCATCAACCACATTTGATTTTAGCAACTCATGGGAATGAAATGTCTGCCTTGTGGCCTGCTCTCTGCAGTTTATTGTAACAGATCCAATAAAATTTGAGCCTGCAGCATACAATATTGCTGACCAGTCACAGTAAGAGGGCACTGATTTGAGTGTATAATGAGAGTGCCTAATGCTTGTATGGTCAAACTGTGGGTTCAGAGAAAACCTTTGTCAGTCTTATGAGTTGCAAAATTCAAATGGTTGGTGGTTTAATGAACAAATCCAAGTAAAATTTGAAATTTTGGTGGCTTTGTCCAAGCTGAAAAAGACTGACGCTAGGAATTAGAAGCTGACTTTAGCGAGCATGACCACTGTATATACAAAGTCAAATCAGTTTTGGCTTTGACTATATCTCCGCTGTGCGCTATGCAACTTTAAACTGCAGTCATTGAAGGGAAGATGATTGGAGTGTGTGCCTCCACCAAATGTTAACATGTGATGGTACAAAATGTCCACAGGGAAGTATAATATAATCAGCAGGATGACCTGATTAGTAAAAGTGGCTTGCAGAAAGTGGGATGTATAGAGTCGTTTATTTTGTCAGTGCAGTAAGTGAGACATGGCTGTCATCAGATGAGTACAGTATGTCACATGAGGGTGTCTGTTCGTGTGATGAGGCAACCTCTACAGCTTTAGTAGGGAATAGTATGTTGTTGCAGTGGACCTATGTTTTTCCTTGAAAGAAGATATCCTAAGAAGAAATGCAAAATTTAAAATAAACTATAAGTGTGTTGTATCTTTTATGTTTCTAAATGTTCCCTGTTTAAGAGATCAAACAGTAGAGGCTCTTTATTTAGTTACTGCTGCTCATGAGTATTTCTCTACTGTAGGAAAGAGCCTGAGTATGATGGCCACACTGCCTAGAGAGAGAGAGAGGGAGAGAGAGAGGCCTTAGCTTTGAGAGAGAAAGGGAAAACGGGGAGATGGAGGGAAGGGGAGGAATAAGGGAGAGCCAGAGCGGAGGGTGTGAGGACAGGGGTTAGGGATTTGCTGCAATCAGCAGACACACTCTTTAAATTCGTATATTTCTATTACGAGAACCTGAAAGAGCCCTTCTCCTCCCTTAGAAGTGTCTTAAAGTGAGTGTGTGTACACACAAATGTGCATGCATGAAACAGTGTTTGTGTGGGTGTGTGTGAGTGTATTTGTGTACTGGTGTAAGCAGCCATCAGCCACTGACTTGCCCTGTGTGTATTTTGTGTATCACTTTACTGTGGTAAAGTGGCATGTATGAGTTTCCTTTGTGTACATTTTCGTGCCACGTATGTATGCACTACTATAACATATCTCTGTACAGTCCCTCATGGCCAAATGTATATACTGAATGTATTGTATGGGGACATAGAGGCATCAAGGTTCAAAATAAATAAAATTGGGTTTATGAGTTAAATGCGATCTGATATTTTGATTACCTTTTTCCTGTTGTTTCAGATGGACACACCACAACAAAGCAAACACATAATTATTTATTGGGAGCAAAGCCCCTTCCTGTATCTTCACCGTTGCCGGTTACCATGGTGAAGCCCTTCGATAAATAGTGAAGAGCGTCTATTGTTTGAGTCAAGGACAGAATGCTGGAGCTATTATCAAGCCAGTACTGCAGCACTTGTTCGCTATTGATCCACTTTGTAGCACCGTCCTGTAATTTTTTATTTTTTTTTTCACTCTGTTGTTCATGCCAGCAGCATTTGTGTGATGTGTCTGTCTAAAGCTTGCTTGTCCATATTTCCTACAGTTAGCTTTCCTGCTTCCAGTAATCACACCTCTGGCCCTTTTTGATAATTAAGTACTTTTTTAGCAGCATTGTTCGCATGCGAGCTATTTCTGTCCATGCTGTGAGTTTAATTAAGTGGAAATCATATATGATTCTTGGTATTTGAAGAAAGTCTTTGCCTCAAGTAAAGAACAGTAATGTTGATTTTCAGTGGTAACAGTCTTATGTTTCCTGAAAGGACTCTATATTACTAATTATGGTAAAAAATAGTAAATTCTTTGAAATAAAAATGCCCATTCAATATTCATGTATTACTGAAAACTTAATTCTCCATATTTGTTTTATTTTAGTTTTAATTGTAACCAATTCAAACTTACAATTCAATTATGATTTTGAATTCATTAACTGCAAGTTTACCAACTGAATACTATGTCTATTTTCCAAATAATTAGTTCCTAATTACATAGCTCAGTAGACATAGACAAATACAGACAAACCTATGTTTTATTTATTGGTGACAGCAAAAACAAAACAGATGTAGCTGATTATTGTTGTTTTCATTCTTTTATAATATGTTTTTATACCGTATATAAAACTACAGTCAGTATGAATGCCTAGCTCTACAATTTGCACTGTATTCTCCACCGTGACTGTAGCTACTTTTCAGCTAGACACATCACTATGATACTTACAAGCTATCACACCCCTTGTGGTGTTACGGCTACATGTGCACGCAACTACTCAAAGTCCAGCATTCAGTACTGGTGAAGGCAATTTTGACAGTGAACTCGCTAACCCCTTACCCTAATATCACTTTCAGAGCTGTTGCATTGTGACAGAAAAAAACTGTTTCTATGGAACACATTTTTTGCCAACAAACAGGCATTCAGGAAGGGGGAATGATAAAAGGAAACGCTGAACATTCACAACCTCTCGAGCCATTTGATAACAGGCAGCCCCTGTAATACACACACCTCAAGCTCAAAGCCAGACAGTGAAGACCTTTGTCTTTGTGTCTCTGACAGAAAGATGTTGGCAGCTACATAAAGTTAACATTTTTATAAGGCGATGAGTGAAACAAAATATGTTATTGCACCAGTTTTTGTGTTTTTGAGCAATTTTTTAAATGGCTGTGCAAAATAATCATCCAACTTCTCCACAAAAATGCAAAAAAAAAAGAGAGAGCATTGTTCACAAAGAGCACTGGCTCCACATGTCATTTCAGATTTAGTAGTTGATTGTCTTTATCTCACCAGACTCAATCAGATCCAAAATTTCAAACAAGGAGTGAAGTTGCTATTTTAAGTTTCCATCCCGACTCCCCATGTGGTTTCTGCATGATCTCTGCCTCTCCCTCCACAGCAGCTTCTGTTCTCCTCCAGAGAAGCTCCATCAAGGGTTAAAGCACCTGGGATGAAATGCATCAAAGAAGCTTTTGTGGACAAAAAAAAAAAGGGAGTGCTGAAAAAGAAGGGGAAGAATAAAAACCATGGCTTGAAAGCAATGAATAGGCCACAAGGGTATAAAATGGCCTTGTGTCCATCAGAAGCTCATTTCATATTCCGCTCAGTCACACCGGGCACAAAACAATCTCAGGTAACAGGCCTTATGTTAATAACACGTGAAGTGCTTCTTTTCAGAAAGACAAAAGCAGATGGAGCGCATTATACCAACCCAATCCTTCCCTCCTCCTCTGGCACGTCAGAGGATTTTATCTGGAGAGAAATAGCATTGGTATTGTTCTGCTTGTCTGTAAAGGCTTGATTAGAGGAGCTTTTACACCATTTCAAAAGATCTGGCATTGATGATTTCGATTGGCTTAACATATTGCCTGTAATGACATGGTGCAGAACCTTGCTCATTACCTGAATCCCAGGCCACTGTGGGAGTAATTGGGCAGATTTGTGCCAGCTTCAAAGCTCCAGGCTTGATTCATTAGGAAGCAACTTTCTACTTGTTCATGCCACTTCCTCTTCCTGCTCAGAGGTGTTTTTTTTCACAGATATGCATCCATGGCCGTGTCACTGAGGTAACTTTTGAAAAATTAAATGAGCACAGAGAAAATTTAACAAACAGCTATTCAAAACCTAAATGACCATGGGCTGATGTGCGGTGAAGGCACACCGTGGTAATTGCAGTGAAGAGGGACTATAGTGATCTCAAAAATAAGGTAGGACTGTAGATAGGAAACAGCTTATGTTCCATTATTTCTGCTGTCTATCTTTAAAGTCAAAGATGGCGAGTACCAACAATGGTTGCCCCCGTTATAAACAAAAAAAAAAAAAAACCTTAAGATTCACCTCTCTCGCTCTCTCTCGTGTTGGATTTTCAGAAGGGATTTCACTGCACTTTGAACAACATCTTTTTTCGTATAATTTCAAAGGAATGAATATACTCTTCAGATGTTCTTGGAATAGCCATGTATTATATATTTAGAGGTGATGAAAGAGTTGACAGGTGCAAACAATACTTATCAGTTCATATACTGTACTGTAATTTCAGGTCTCCTTTGTAAGAGGATTTAATACCAGGCAAGGCCTGAGAGACTACATATAGTCAATACTACTTTGAAACATATTCACAGTGACAACAAAAGGAACATAAACATCTTCTTTTCTATACCATATGTGTGATGCTATTTCACACACCATTGAGTGTCTCCATGACAACTTCACATGGTGATTTGCCACAATAAATTGTTTAGAATATCCTGAAAGCTGCTGTTAAGAGGCTTGACTAGTAGTCTATGCAGTAAAAACAGTAAGTAGACATGATATACTACAATGTACAGCGCTAAAAACAAATGACATGTCTAGATCTGAAATCAATGCAAAACTATTCCCCATTATCCCTGCTTGGTTTTATTTTTTTTTCTGGGCAAACACAAAAGTCTCTTAAATTTGCTAGAACGGCAATGACACTTTTATTCACTATTGTTTTGTTGAAGCTATGACACCGTTTCCTTCAGCGTGGTAGAAATGCTTTTTTTTTTAAAAATACCCTTGGAGGCAGTTGGGAGGTGGAAATTGCCCGCAGGTGTGCATGCATATAAAATGGTAATGGGCACAGACGGACACAAAGCGCTGTTTGGGTGCTGTGCTCATGAAAGGGCAATCCACTGATTGAGCTGTCACATTCACAGATGCAGTAATAAAACTAAGCAGGGCAATTACTGTAGATGGAGAACGGTAGGTAGCAGAGGGGGGCACGCAATATGTCCTCCCCTAAAATACCCTGATGGCAGACAACGAGACAAAGCAAATGTAACCGGCTTCAATAAGGCTGAGGGGAAAAAAAAAAGTTGGAGGGGGGGCTCCGATAATGGTAGCGATGCTTCGACAAGCACAGCGACATCTCAGAGATTGTTAATAAACCTATCAATTTATCCGTGCAACTTTCATTTTTATGTTACTGGCTGTCTAAGCATATTGTCCTCTTTGAAAAATGAAATCACTAAACTGCAATTAAAGCAACTGTTTATGAAACACAGTTTAACAAAGAGCAGATTAAGAGCATGATTTTAAATTTAGGGTAGGAAGAAAAGGCAAATAAACAAGCAGTATGTGTGCTAGGATGACCGGTGAGTCAGTCATGTCTGGGTAGAAATAAATTACAGCATTGCCATCTAGTGTACAAATGGTGGAACTGCATAGGCTGCGGGAAGACGATGTAAATGCAGTAGATAATTTAGACTGCCTAGACCAGTGTAATACATTTATAGTCAAAGCCACCAGTTACATAACAGGAAAACCGACTGATGATTTGTGCGGTTAGCATGATTAAATTTATTATAAGTCTCGTCACATCCATAAGAAAAAGCTGTCATGACCTTTGAGGAGCTCAGTTGAAAAGGTGATGTATGTACTGTATATTAAAAGGTAAATTGGGTAATAATAGAAAAATTTACATATTGTATGTCTAAAGCCATAATTTATCATTTCTGGGCAGCAGCTTTACAGGCTTTCTCCTGCTCTCTCCTCTATAAAAGCCTCTGTCCGTTGGGTATGAGCTCAAAGTCCCGGGCCTCCAGCAAATATGAGCTCGAGGGCAGCCTGGATGTCACCATCTGTGGCCTGCAGCGCCCTCAGCATCAGCTCCTCATCCTGGATCCCCATGTCCCGAAGCTGCTGCATCTGGGACTGCCAGCGGCCCTGACAAAACAAAAACACATAAAAAGAATAATGTTTTATCCAAAGACCACCCAGTCTAAACCGCTTTGCAGCTGCAGTGTGTACCTTCCACTGACACCACAAAATAATACAATTCTTTTAAAATAGGCCAAGTACACATATCAGGGGGCAGCAATGTTTTTTATTTTTTGGAGAGCAGCAGCTTCCTCCAGGTAACCAGGAATCATGATCTGTGTATGGCAGACCTGTGAACAGAGATGTTAACCAGCTCCGATGATTCTTTTAAGTCTTTGATCTTACTCTGAGGTTATTTGTTACATTACTGATCATTCTGCGTTGTGCTTTTGTAGTCATCTTGGAGTAAGCTGGATGCACACATATAAGGAGAGTAGTCACAGAACTAAATCATGCCCATTTATAGACAGTTTGTCTGACTGTGGACTGATGACTACTTACTCTTTGAGATGACTCTGTAACCCTTTCAGTTTCATGCAAGTCAACACAACAAAGTTTTATCTCACAAGCCTTTATTTTGACTTAACTACACGAAGCTTAACATGAAGCGATTCTGGAGTCTGAAGGCTTTACTGCATCTGACACCTTCCATATAGAGGGGAAAAAGTGTTCTTCAGTGATTGAGGTTTAGCACTGTATCAAAGTGTTCTCATATATCTTGGACTAGTTCAACTTTGCAATGAGGATCTGTGCATAAAAATGTATTTCAATCAGTTTTCAACTTTTATTCCCAAAAAATGTTGGTACTAGTAAGTCAAAGTAGCTCTAACCCACACCTACAATCTTGTTTCATTGACCTGACTCCAGGTTTGATAACTCCTGACTCCAAGCTAGCTTTTTTGTTTTGGTTAACTTTTGTTAATGCCACTATCCGAGGGTTTCCCATACTTTCTCCTGCCTACACTGTGAATGTTTGAAATGTTTTCAAAATGGACAAGAACAATACAATGATTTGTGTGTTGTTAGTTATTAGTTAGTTTGTTCATAATTGTAACTTGGATGAAGATGTGACCACACTTTAGGACAAATTTATACATAAATGGAGGTAATTCCAAAGGGTTCATTTACATTTTCTTGCCACTGTATTTATAAACACATTTCCTCCATGAACAGAATATGGGGAGAAGTCAGCAGGTTCTTAGTCTCACCTGTAGGGCAGACATGTTGGTGGCTTGAAGAGCTTGCTGTAGAGCCTGGCTGAAGAGATCGTTACTGACTGGGGTCCCTGCTGGCATGGGAGCTACACCACTGGAGGGGTCAGACTAAATCAAAGACAGAATGACAGTTAAGAAAAAAAATAAAATAAATGTATTCATCTGCACGAAGGTGGCCAGGTTTTGTTGCAGAGATCATATTTCAGAAAAATATAAATGTATTGTCATCAGTTCAGTGGTTTGAATAAAAATAATGGGTCTGTATATCTTTTTCAAAATGTAAATAAATCTCACCTGGCTTGCTGTTGTGGGAGTGACTGCACTGCTGTCAGGAGTGCTAGCGAGGGCCAAAGCTGTTGCCAGCTCACTCTGTGTTATTGGTCGAGGGCCTGTCGCTCCACTGTGGCTCAGAGACACTGGTCGTATTCCTGCTGAGGCCCCTGCTCTGTTGGAGGGTCCTGCTGGGCTCCCCTGTTACATAAATTTAGACACACAGGAATACATTAAGGTCCTCAGCATTATCAGTTCTCCTGAACATGATATCTGATGTTGAGCATCAACCAGAGTCACTCACAGATTGGAAATCTTCCTCGTCGTCAGACATGCCCTCAAACATGAAGCCGCCTGCCAAAAAATTAGTTGCGTATTTTTAACAAAAAACTGATTCATAAAAATGCATCAAAAACAATATAAAAAGGAAAGACATGAACCATAATGTATGTCGGTAAAAAACTGCAGCATACAAAATACTATTTTATGTTCAAAGTGCATATGTATGCTCTATTTTAAAAGTCCAGTGGTAGTCTTTTGCATCTTATCAAAACATTAAACTATCGTTTGCCTCAGTTCAGTTGTTTCAATATTTGGAGCCTGTCAAGAGTGGCTCCTTATTACTATTAGTGATTGACTTACCAGGCATATCACTGTAGGAACTGGAAGAGACGTTGCGAGAGGAGCTGGCACTGGACTGAGCGGGCATACTGCCTGCCACAGAGTGCAGCACCAGAATGATGGCGTTGACAAGGGCTGGGTGTGTACTGATTAATCTATTAAACAGACAGAAAGAGTAGAGATGTGAATTTAAATGACCTTCCACTTGTGTGCCTGTACTCACTTTTTAGGTGTCACATCAGAGCCAATAAAAAGCTCTGACAAGCCACACTTACACATCCAGCATGTTGGGGTCTGTGAACTGCACAAAAAGATCTTTGTCTTGGAGCACACCTGAACGGATTAAAGGGAAATGTTACTATTTACATATTTGCATGGTACAATGAGATGGCATGATTATGTTTATAAAACCAAAGGTCTTACCTAGGGCAACTGGATCTGACCTGAGCCCTGGTGTAGCCACAATGATCTGATCCAGGGACTCTTTATTTGTAAGCATTTTATATACCTAAGAGTGAGGAAAAGACAATAAGTGTCATTTGTAAATGTGGTAACAGCAGCAGAAGAAGCAGAAATAGTATCATTCATGTACTCAATGTAAATTATGCAGGAATTATATGTAGGTTAACTGTAGAGAAAAACCTGCATTCTTATGTAGATGAGTACTAATTTATCCATAGACAACGGTTTGCATTGCAGTGGATGGAGAAAACCAAGTGATGATCTGAAAGCTTGTCAGATAGCATGAGAAGCAACAACTGGAACCACTTCACCACCGAAAAACATTTTAAATCATAATACAGCTCTCAAACAATATTTTAACCATAAACAACATAGTAAATCACTGGTGTATTCCCATGGTTGGTTCTCCTGTTAGATTCCAGTACTTTTGCTCTATCATTCCATGATAAAAATACACTACAGATACTGTAGTCTGTTGTTAGTTTTGTGGTTAAAATGTTATTCGAGTGCTGTGTTGTGATGTAAAATGTTTGTCAGCTGACCTGATCTGCTGCTGTTATCTCCATCAACAGCATCAGTCATCTGTGTATCAATACAAGTGAGTAGCAAAAACTAATTTAACGTAAGAAAAATATACCCATTCCTATCTGAACTATTCCTTTATCACTCAAGCCAACATGCTGGCATTCTAAAACTGTTTGTGTCTGATGTTTTACAGTAAGCCATGGAAAGCTGCCATCCTATAATAGCTAAATCTGATCCTGTTGACAATAATCTTTGGCCAGCTCCTAGCTGCCCGAGGTCCTGCTCACACTAAAATGCAGCTTGGGTGATCCAATCAGAATTAAACAGCTGTGAACACAGGTGTGGCTACACCTAAAGGACAGTGTAAGAAAATCCAATTACTCAAGCCAAACAGTTTCCAAGTCAAGGATGCATATGTCCAAAAATTTGTGAAATGCAAACACCCAAACACATTCCTGCATTCTACAGTGAAGGACAACCTAATTCACTTTTTACTGTGTGTAAGGCATGGGAAAGTTCCCAAACACTGATGGATGCAGTTTATTGCCTGTGCCAAATAACTTGGTCAAGGTTTGGATCGAGGAAGGGATAAACTCCACATCCCCACCGACCAAATCTAGATATTTCTGGATACAAGATGATAAATCTAGACAATCCCTAAACCTAGGCCCTCCACTTACAACGGAAGGCTGAGATATTATGCTAAAGAGTGTCCACAAATCTTGACCAGAGGATGGAGGACCAAACATTATGCTTCTTGACACTGACTAAAATTAATTAAACAGTTTACACAAGGATTGGTTAAAACAAAAATACCTAAGTAGATCAAATTATTATACATTATATACACTCTTTCGAGCTTTGGAAGAAGAATATTTTGCAGGGGTTGTCACTATGGGCCCTGCTATGCTGAATGTGTCTTCTACTCACCGAGTCTCTGTAGGCAGAGTTGAGAGAGTGAAGAGCAGCATGAAACACCCTGAACTCCCTGGCTGCAGTTGCTCTATTCACAGGCTCTAAAGAAGAAACACACACACCATGTGGTTCAGACTTTCACTTTCACTAACAGTACAACTTAAACACAAAACTCAATGCTTTAATGACAAGCACACACACACGCACGCACACACGCGCGCACACACACACACAAACCTGGACTGCTCTCTGGCTCTGGCCAAGTCTTTTTGAGGATGTGTAAGGTGGATCCTGGTTGAATCCCACAGGCATCCAGTGTTAGATCATCTTTAAGTTTCCGCCCACAGTGGACCAACTCTGATATGCAACATAAACACAAACACAACATTTTAAGTGTGAGTAACAATAGCACATAGACAGAAAAGCAACACACAGCTGTTATTTACTATGAAGAATTAACCAAACAGATTGCAAGTGGAATATTTTTGCGAGCGGAACACACAAACACAGACACAGACACATTTCATTCACACCAGTTTATTTATGCTCAAATGCCACAGCTGTAACAAACCTATTAGTTCAGGGTCTGGGATGTTGTCTGGGAGCTGAGCTGCTACAAGTTGTTTTAAGGTGGCGACTCTGTATCCTCCAGGTGGAACATCCCCTGGCATCATCTCTGGGAAGTGGAAGATGGATTTGGGCTGATCCACCAGCTTCAAAGACAGGTGCCAGTCTGCAGAAGTCATCTCTATCTCCTCATACAAAAGGAACACAGCCTTAACATGGGGGTATGGAAGATAATGACACGAGCTAGCTTGAGTTTATCAGCAATTACTGATGTGACGTCAGCTTAAAGTAAAATATTATAATTTCTCTATTTTAGACGATGGACTCGGACAGGGCATATCATTAGCTTAATTTTTTTAAATCTTTTTGGGGGGTTGTGTTAGCAATCCCGGTTAGCTGCGTAGCGTTTGCTATAGCAGTGTGCCGGTTTGCTAATTTAAACGTGAACTGTCGGTACAGTATGACTGGTTTAAACAGCACTCCCTTGATAACATTAAAATAAAATTCACACAGTAACGCCACGACAACTGTACACTATGTAAAAGAACTGCACACTCACCCTTTTATTGTTGACAGTCAATGCACTTCCTGGTTTTGGTCACGTGGTCAATGTTACGTTTACTTCCACTGGCCAAACAAAGGAGACTTTACTACTCTGTGTCCTCTCACTGTCCCTCTCACCACTGGCAAACTATAGAAGTCTTTCCCTCACACACACGGCTCAAGTCTAAGAAAAAAAGTATTAGAACAATTTAAACCACTGTCTAAACATTACAGTATAAATGTCTACATCACTATACTGTGCCTATAGCCTACATTTCTTTTGTTTTGAGAGTAAAGTATCTACCTACTTTTCCCCTTTACTTAAATGACACCACAATGTTCCCAATTGATTTCCCTGCTGCATACTCAGGATTTTCCAACGCTGTGTAATGTTTTGGGCAAATGTGACTCCAGACAGAAGTTTTACGGTCTGTGTGTATCACAAGTTATCCACAACGACCACTCGTATAACGAAAAGTGGAATTTTTCAGATGAATTTCTGCGTACAATATATATACTATACGTCAAAAGACTAGAAATCCATGTTATTATAATACAATAACATGATGTAAAAAATAGTAATAAAACTAAAGAACATATATCAGTGATACCTTTAAGGATCATATGATAAATAAAGACAACATTTGGATATAAAGACAAAACCGTGATTTCGGGTGTCCTCATATAGGCAGTATCACTCCAAACGTGCATTTATCATACAGTATAGTGTATTGTAAGAAAGCGAGGTGGAAACCGGTGAGTTAACAAACGGTTAACTCGGGGGTCGGGACTGTGGAGACTCTTTTCCCCCTCGGGATGACATCACTGCTGGACAAAGCAGCAAGGAGTGGTTTCTGTGAAGAGAACCGTCCCAAATCAATGAATCACTCTGAAAAAATACCCTGCACTTTTATCCACCGTCAAAACAAGCTGTTATCGAGTCGGCAGCAGTTTTGTTGTGTTTTACTGAGAAAGGAATGAACTACTCTGGAAAATAACATCGGCTGTGCTGAGCAGAGAAAAGAGTCACCGCCGCTGGATGGTTGGTGGTTTTTTTCTTAAAGTTTCGCCGTCCTAACATGGTAAGCCCAAAGAAACTGTTTTTGAAAGCATAAAAGGTTATTACACGTAGACTAACGGAAAATATATCTGTAAAGTTGGGTTATTTTCAAAGACGAGCAACAGCTGGGGAGGAGAACCCCATGAACTCAGGGCAGGATTACTGGTCCACATATAGTTGGCTCTATTCACTGGCTGGGTGCCGTAGGCTATCTGGTAGGTTATATTGTAGTTTTAAATCAAGACAGATGCTAGCTAAGCTATACAATATACTGTTTCACAAATGGAGCTAGTCACATTTATGAATGAAATGGACTGCGCCCCCAGTTGACAAAAAGTGAACACTGCATCACTGCATTTAATCAGTGTAACAGTGTAACTTCCATAACTCAAAATGGGGACATTACCTTTATTGGCGAGTGACGCACTTTATCCACAGTCTTCCACTGAGATGATAAGAAAGTCGTTTAAAAAAATACTCACCCAATGGTATGAATTAAATTATACACATAAAGCAAAGTAGCAGTAAAGTCGGCCCTGTATGCATTTATGTTCTTAGTCACAGTGGTTCCCAGCCTGCAAGACCCAACAAGGGTTCACAGGATTAATCTCAGGGGTCAATATATGCTTATTTCTTCAGACTTTAATCTATTTTATGTTATGAATTACTGGAAATATTACCTCTGAAAATTGTTATTCAAATAAACCAACTGGTCACAGTGAGAAGACATCTGCAACCAGTGATGAGTTTGCAAGTAGACATTCCTTAGTTTTTTAAGAGGTCGCAAGCAAAAAAGTTTGAGAACCACTGGGACAGGAGCTACTGTGCTTTACAATGCAGTGAGGATGTAGCCTGTGCTCATGCTGCCCTTATCACATGACAGTGCAGCTGCTGGCAGGTACAGCATCCTGTGGGATGTAAGAGGATGTAGCATTTACTATTCTGACAACTTGTATGGAAAACGATCACTGATACAGCAGAGAGATAATAATGTTATCTGACAATGTATGAGGTGCTTAGCTTTAGTTTTTGCCAGGGATGTGATTGCAGTTTGTGACAGTAGACGGTTCGTACCATTATTTCATATTCGTATTATTGCACAGATAGGTAGAGTATGTCAAGTTGCCATAAGATAAAGGTTACACTAAAGTGGCTACTGTGGCTTAATATAAGGAGGATGTTGGCAAATCTGTCACAGTGCAAACTGATCCTATACACTTTTCTGGTCTTGAGAAGACACATCTGCCTTACAGTTGTCACTGCTTCACCTGCTAATTACCTGGTGGATAAAACATATACAGCCTAGTGCTGCCTTGTCTTGCCTATTATTGGATTACTGTATGCAGGCCTTTGTGAACTGTAAATTAAAGTTTCCATAGTTTTAATGAAAGTTGGCAAGTAATACTTCCATACAACTTGTCAGCCATAAAGTGTTCTTGAAGTTTATAGAGCTCTTCTTTCCTCAGTTTGACAAAGTAATGTACTGTTTGACTAAGTAATGTGCTAAATGACGTGTGGGCACATTTCCTCTCATGAAAGAGGGCTTGGTAAATTTTACCCACTGCTGCCATATGGATTTGAAAGGCTCACTTTCATCCCATGATCCAGTTTACCCTTTGATGGGACTGGTGCCATCCAGGTTGGAAATGTCCCTATCATTAAGGGCTGAATGGTTCCCAGTGGTTTGAGAAGCTTGGCAATGATGCCAGCCATATGTCAATGAGACATCCGAGCCCAGAAGGTCAGTTAGATTCATTATATTAATTGTGTTTAAGAACAGCCTTGTCATAGAGGAAAGGAGTGGACTCAAGAGCAGTAAAAAGACAAACTGCTAGAGAACCACTGTCACAGATTTCTCAACTGTACAGTACAATGGTGCAATGACCACAGCAACATTGTAAATCTTAATGGTCTGTGATACCTCGAGAATCACTTCTCTTTCCTTTGACCTCAGTAAAAAGCTTAATAATCCTTAGCGCAGTGTCAAAATGAAATACAATGGTGATTAAGGCTCAAAAGCTGACAACCAATCACTGAAAGAAATTCAAGATATTCAGACTGTCAAACAGTCTTTCAGTGACTGTTTCTTTTTCATTTTAATGGTCTTCATTTTAGAGAGCACCATTATTAATTAATTCCATGATTGAAACGTGAATAAAGAACTGGCAATACTTTTGATTCATTGGTGTAATGTAGTGATGGATATCATAGCTTTTTTCTTTTCTTTTTAAATACAGCCTTCTACACTAAAAATTTATTGTACCATTATATTCTTCAGGTTGTGACTTGCAAGCGCAGTAAGCCTGTTTTGATCTTTGCCATTGAACTGTATTGTTAAAGTTAGATCGTAAAATGAAAGGAAGAAAAAAGCATGTACATCCTGGCACCCTGGTCGGTAAAGTACTTGAGTCATTCAATAAAAAAAAACTCTTTGATGGCTTCTGGGTGTCTGGACAACACAGCAACACAGACACAGAGTCAGACTGTGGTTTGGTGTGTTGGCATAGTTCGGTTCATGCTATCCTTAGGAAAATTTACAGATATATTTAAGGAGAGGATGGCTGTGATATGTGTCTGGTTTTGTGTCCATTGGGTATTTATTCACTTTTTTGAATGTCTGTGCATGTTCTCTGCCTCTGTGGGTAAATATGGAGGAAGATTCAGATAGTGTTACCAGCGTCTTGAGCTGGTCTCTGGCAGGCTAATGCCTTCTGAAAAGTCCAGAGCGCTGTTATGGAAACTTTGTGATGAAGCTGCACTCCTGCCCACATCCTCTCTGCTGAAGCCATAAATGGAGCCTCATGGAAAACGTTCTGGTTAAGTCACGAGGTGGAGCTACAGCTGACAGCAATATTGAAATGATTCATAGTACCAAAACACCACAACTGATCTGGTTGCTCTTAATTTATATGTAAGTCAGAAAACACATTATGCTGAACTTGCAGTTGATTTGTACAGACATTTATCTGCTCAGCCATAAGGTTTCATCAGTGTTGTGGAGTGGTGGGAGTTAGCCAACATTCAGCCACACCTTGAAGTTCAAAGCTGCAAAGCATCCACAGTGTTGACTGTAAACCCTGGTTAACTCCCCACAGCTCATGTGATAAAAAGTGGAAAACTGAAAATTCCTTTTTTTCTCTCTGATTCAGTAGGGAATGAATGTAAAAAAGAAAGATTGTATATTACAGTGCAGACATAGAAAACTGAGTTACCTCTCACACACGTCACACTCGGTGTGTAAGTATTGCCAGTCCGGTGTGTTATTTTTTCCCCATCTTCTCTTTCTTTATGGAGACAAACCCTATTTAAAAAGAAGAAGTACTGTGTGAGGACTTACGTTTCACAGAGGTCAAAATGGAAAGTTATGCTTCCAAAATCAACCAGATTAACCGGACATACCACAACTGTCTGATCGTTCAGCTACACTAGCCTTTGCAAAATGGGGGCAGAAGAGAAATAATTGTGTTTTTGAAGCATCACTGTGGATTTAGAGTTTTTTTTTTTTTTTTAAAGTTCTAATGTAGTGTATTATCCACTTCATTTCTTCCTCTTTCAACAGTCTAAATTGTTGTAGGTTCTTCCTTTATGTAAGTTTTATTAATAAGTTAAAGAAGGGTGTCAACTAAGGTTTTATCAAAGGGTTCTTTGAAACTATACATTATAAGTTAAGTTTAAGGAATGTGCATTACTCCTCAGGTTTTCTGTTTCCTACTATATAAGACACTCAGGATGTGTGGGTCCTTTTTTGGACTGAAAGGTTAAGAAGTTAGAGACCAGAGGTCATCGACCAGATATGGTCGACCATTTGTGTGAAGGCCCTTCTATTAAAAGAAAGGCACATCCCAAAGGTGGGATGAGACAGATAAATAGAGTGTCAGGATGTTGAGGTAAGTTGGACCCAAATGCAGTCAATTCTTGGGAGATCGCAGAGGTTTATTTATTACACGTGAACGTGACATGAACAGACATGAAGACAACAGAGAAAAACAACAGACGAACCGAATAATGACAAAGGGAAGCACAAAGACTATATAGACAAGG